TATAGCATGTCCAAGGGACTGAAGGCCGCAGACCTGCCTTGGAGACGAAGAACTCCCTCTGTAAGGCAGCTGACGCTATTCCTCGGTACCCCCCCCCTGGAGCCAAGCCTCGCGGAAGCTTCCGGAGCGAAGCTGCCCAGGTCGGAGCAGCGTCCCGTCCCTCCGGAGGAACACAGACGGCGACCACGCTCTCCAATCAAGCCCACCGACGTGTTTTTTCAGGCAGCCGCAGCTAGCAACAACGTGCGCTGCTAGCATATAGCATGTCCAAGGGATTGAAGGCCGCAGACCTGCCTTGGAGACGAAGATCTCCCTCTGTAAAGCAGCTGACGCCAGCTCAACATGTGTGCCTCTCCCACGGTTTGCCTTGTCGGGGACTGCAGCGCGGAGGACGATGACCCAACGATCCACCTGGCTTCGTTACTCCCCTCGCTGCCGGAGAATCTGCACAAGACCTGATGAAGCCCATCGCGGACGCGCTGTTCAGAGCAGCTTCAAACCATGCTGGCGAAGTGAAACAGTCGGAGGAGGTGCCAAAAGCTGTTCGCCACCTCATCAAGCCGCGCGGCCCACCCCGTCCCCGCTGGAGGGACCGTCGCGAGCAAGTTTTCGACTTTTCCACGGCCGCGGCTCTCGCTTTGTTCCACCACCAGCCCCGCCCGTCAAAATCCAGCCCTCTTCACTCCGGCAGCCTGCAGCTCAGCGTTTCCCCAGAGTTCGCCTGCAAGACAGCGCTCTGGGCAAACAATCGCAGAGCTCATGAGAGAGAAAGCTCTCAAATGACGGTCTCCGGAGGGTGTGTGTAAAAGTGACACGAAAGTTGAAATAAATCATCATTAATGATCCAAGTGTCTGTTTTTTAGCCAGTCTGTAAGCCCGGATCAGCTCACAGCGGCCGCACACATAAGAGCGCACTCGTGGGATGAAACAGCCCCACACACGAGCCGGTGTCCTTAAATAAAGGTTTTTAACTCACCGTCGCTCTAAGACATGACGAGTCGATCACAGAACAGCCTCCACACATGAGCCGGTGTCCTTAATTAAAGGTTTTTAACTCACCGTCGCTCTAGACATGACTAGTCGATCACAGGACAGCCTCCACACATGAGCCGGCGTCCTTAATTAAAGGTTTTTAAACTCACCGTCGCTCTAGACATGACGAGTCGATCACAGAACAGCCTCCACATGAGCCGGTGTCCTTAAATAAAGGTTTTTTAAACTCACCGTCGCTCTAGACATGACGGGTCGATCACGGCACAACGGTAAGCGAAAATAACTCATTACCAACTAGAACTGCATGATCCTCACTCAAGCGGTGTCAACTCGCACTCGTGGGATGGAACAGCCTCCACATGAGCAGGTGTCCTTAAATAGGGTTTTTAATTCACCGCCGCTCTTGACATGACGAGTCGAACACTAAGATGACAGCCTCCATTCAACGGTGCTGCGTTGATGCTGGCGCACACAGCTGCCGGCGCTAACCAGCTCACATCGGTATAAATGTGGTCCGCAGGCTGGTCCGGGTGGGGGTCCTTCTCTCTCAGCTTTCGGCAGCTCACCGCAGCTTAAACGTGAAGCAGCCGAAGAACCCGGTAATGAGTCCCACCTCCCTCCAGCGCGCGCCCCTCCAGCGAGAGCGGCGCGCGTCCCTCCAGAGAACAACGTGTGCTCCCGCGGGGCTAAGCAGCCTTCACTCCAACAGCACGGTGTAAATGAAGTCACGCCCTCCGCCTTTCAACGTTCGCACAGCGACGTCAAACGCGCAGCTCACCGCGTCATCAGCTGTCACACGCTTCGCCTTCAGCTCAAGTCTCGCCCGGGGTCACACAGAAAACATTCCCGCGACGCATGACGGCGGTTGAGGGACGGACTGCTGACAGCCGTACAAAACATGACGCATCATTAACGCACGTTCATCCACGAACGTTACGTAGAGTGGCTAAAACATGCTCGCCGTTTTTCAGATGGATGGACAGGGTTTATGCAAATGGTACAAGTTACAGTTTGCAACCCGAACCCCTCCATTCAGAGGAGTTATATAAACGGTCCCGTCATCATCAGACTGATTCTCTTCCCTAAATGCAGAAATCCAAGTGTTTTCTGATAAAAGTAATCTACAGAGTTCCCCAAGGGAGAGAAAACACGAGGGTTTTACTCACGGATCGGAGGGGTGAGACCGTTCTTGGATCTGTTGTTTAACATCCAGAGAACGCATACCGATCATCCTAAAACACAGAGACGAGAGTTTTTTGTTTTACCTGGATGATCTGCGGATCCTGTCACTTCAGACAGGAGGCGCTGATGCAGGATCAGGTGTTGACATCACACCTGTTAATCTGGGCTTCGCCATAAAGTGGAAGGAAGCTCGATTTTCCCGGCCCAGACATTTGTTTTCTGGAGTGGAATTAAATTCAACCACCATGAAAACTCGTTTATCACATTAGACGCCTCTAGAGGTGTTTTTGCACGTCTGCATGTGGATCCAGTAAAACAAACGACGGATGATCATTGTCTTTTCCTCTGTGGAAGCAGACCTCCGACTCTGGGGAAACACCTTGTTTTTCTATCAGAGGGAGTCCCCCTCAGCAGACCCACGTCATGGGTCAGTCTTCACGGACACGTTGCTGTCAGGCTGGGGGGGGGGACATACCTATCTCAAGCAGTAGGGGCGCTGTGGCCCCACTACACATCAGCCCACATCAATGTTTTGGAGTGTCGCACAGTACTGAATGTGATTCAACACCTTGCTCCTGTGCTACAGAATCAACACGTGTTGATTCACACAGACATCATGATGACTGCTGCGTACATAACCATCAGGGTGTGCGTTCAGCCCAGATGTTACACATTGTGCGAAAGCTACTGAGTTGGGTTCATCAAAACCTGCTTTTATTAGAGCGGTTTACATATCCGGTGTTCTGAACAGAGGGGCTGATGTGACGTCCAAGGGCGGCCCACGTTACGTGGACCGGATCCTCCATCCGGATCTGATGTTTTCAGACGCAGCAGAAGTTGGCAAAGCAGCTGTGGACCTGTTTGCGATGCGAGAAGAACGCTCAATGTCAACTACGGTTTTCCCTGAGCCCGCGAGACGATCCATCGCTGGGGGGGGACGCATTTGCTCACAGTCGGTGGCCCAAAACGCTTTTTACGCGTTTCTTTTCCCCCACCTCCTCTGTTTTTTACGGTCCATGAACCGAGTTCAAGAGGAGGGATTGACAGCTCTCCTGGTGGCTCCCGGCGTGTGAACGCACTATGGTTCCCAGGCCTGCAACGTCTGTTGTTGGGTCGCCGTGGAACTGTCATGGAGGAAGGATGCTCTCCTTCAGGCAGGAGAAGCGACCAAGAGTTACCCAGAAATAGGTCAACACCGGTGGGTCTGACCGCTGAGCGGTTCCACTTAGAGGATGGGTCTCCCTCAGGAGATAGTGTGCACAATTCAAGATTCACGTGCTGCATCTACCACAGTTCTGTACACATCAAGGGGACGGCTTTTCAGCGCTGGTGTACAGAGAAGGTTTAGAGACCACTTCATGCCTTTTAGGCGGCGTGTTGTTTTTCTACAACAGCTGATGGATAGGGAGTTGGCTTTCAGTACGCTTTAACGTACGATTGCAGCCATCTCTTCCTGCCACAAAGGGTTTGGAGACAGAACAGCTTTTATCACCCGCTGATGAAGCGGTTTCTAAAAGGTGTACAGAGATGTAGGCCTGTTTCACGCCCACTTGTTCCACAGTGGGTTTAACGCTGGTCCTGCGAGCCCTGATCAAAGCTTCAATTGAGCCTCTGGATCAGGTTTCATTTAAATTCTTGTCTCTTTTAACAGCCCTGTTGCTGGTTTTAACACCCGCTAAGAGGGTAAGTATTTATCTGCCCTCTCTGTTGCTTCGTCATGCCTTAGAATTAGGCTGACGGGCAGCTCAGCTGATTTAAGACCAACCCAGCTTTTATGCCTAAAACATCACGAGCTCTTTTAAATCAAGAGTGATATCGTTGGAGGGGTTTTTTTCCCCCCCACAGATCAGAAGGGGAAGCATCTGTTCATCTTCTCTGCCCGGTGCAGGCGTTGACGTGTTACATAACGCGCACAGCTGCAATGCGTTCAAATTCAACAATTGTTTGTGCATTATAGAGATGCTTCTGCAGGTCGCCGTTATCCATCCAGCGCTTGTCACACTGGCTGTGTGAGGCCTTTTCTGAAGCCTACAGAGCATCAGATTTAGGGCCTCCTGTCAACCTCTAAGCACATTCGACCAGGGGTATCGCATCTTCGACTGCTCTGCATAATGGTATGTCAATGCAGGACATTTGCACTGCGGCTGCATGGTCAACACCCTGCTCATTTATTCGCTTTTACCTACGTGATGTAACGGCTCGTTCCATGACACATTCTGTCCTTAGTGCTCTAACAGAATGAATATTATTGTTCTCATGGAACTCTGTTTAAGCTCACTTCTGTCTGCATGCATTACAGTGTGAGATGTTGTTATCAGTCACAGTCGTGTCTGTGTTTCTGGTTCTATTGTCACTAATCAGTTCATGATTATTGTTACCAATCAGTTCATTTGATTATTTATCAATTCATGGACATTAATCTGTTTATACTGTTCAGCCATGAACCAGTTGGTTCATGCCCCCCTCCCCCCCTCTTTTCAACTTCCTCTTCCCGTTGAAAGTTTTTCCGGGGTATTCATGCTTGTCAGAACGCATAGTTACACAACATGCGTCTGTGCATGGCACATAATTACGCGATGCGTAGTTTATGCACACGGGGAGCTGGGTGACAAGACGTTTTTTGGGCAAGCTTCCGCTTCTTACTGTGTTCGAATGGACCCAGTGAGGCGAGGACCACATCCGCTTCGCCCTTAACCCATCAGCGACAGCCTTAAAGGGCGAAGCCTATATGAAATAGAACGTTGGTTACGTACTGTAACCCCAGATTCTATGAATATAGGCGTAGCCCTTTAAGCGTCGGGCCTCACTGGCTCCTAAATGGCTGAAGAAAAAAGCTATTTTGGGAGCCGATTTCCCGCTCTTAACGTAATTTATACGGACCGGGTGGGGCCCACACAGCAGGTGGGCGTGGACTAATTTTTTTTTCAGTGCTTATGCTCTGCATAACGGGATAAACCCATCAGCGACAGCCTTAAAGGGCTACGCCTATATTCATAGAATCTGGGGTTACAGTACGTAACCAACGTTCTTTCTAATGCTCTCTCTCCATCAACATCCTCAAAGCAAAGATGGCATCCATGGTGCTCCTCGTTGTAACACCATACTGCTGCTCACAGTCGCCTCTCATCTAAGTCGAGCGTCCACAACTCGCTCCCAGATGTGTGCTTCATCAACTTAATTCCCCTGTAGTTGCTACAACTCTACGTTGAATATTTGAGTCTAAAACCTCAATGCCATCTCTCCAAGACGTTTCCAGACCTTCACTGGTATGTCATCAGGCCTTCCCCTTCTTCATTCTTTTCAGAGCGTTCTGAACTTCACCCTCACTGATCTTTCCCACTTCCTGGGCCACAGTTTCTATGACCTCTACTCTTCTTTCTCTTTTATTCTCTTCATTCATTAGCTCCTCAAAATACTTCCATCTTCCTGTCACATTCTCCTCACTTGTTAGGACATTCCCATCTTTAGCAAGCCTAACCTGCTGCAAATCCTTTCTAGCCTGATCCCTCTGTCTCACCAATAGAAAGAAGTCCTCTCCATCCTTACTGTTCAGCCTCTCTTGCAACTCATCATACACTTTGTTTAACCTTTGCTCACTCCCTTTTTGCCCTACTTTCTTCAGTTTCTCACCCCACCCCCCCTGTGTGTGTGTGTGTGTGTGTGTGTGTGTGTGGGGGGGGGGGGGGGGGTGGATCTCATCCTCTGAATAACTTCACTATTCCACAACCAGGTTTCCTTATCATCAATTCTCTATTCAGATGGCACCTCAAGTACCTTCCTACCTTGTCTCTCTAATTAGTTACTGTAGTAGCCCATTCTGGAAGCTCTTTCTTACTCATCTCTGAACTCAAAACATTATTCCTTCTTCAGCTTCCACCATTCAGTTCTCTGATTTTACTCTTTTTCTCTTTACCACAACAGTCATTCTACACATAACCATCTCTCCGATGCTGTCTGGCCACGCTCGCCCCTGCCACAACCTTACAGTCTCCAATCGCCATCAGGTTTCCTCTTCTGCACACAATATATTTGACCTGTGTACTCCTGCCTCCACTTTTATAGGTCACTCTTTGTTCCTCCCTCTTTTGGAAATAAGTGTTGACTACAGCCATTTCCATCCTTTTGGCAAAATTCACCATCACATGTACTTCCTGGTTTTTCTTTGGCACCAGACCTACCCATCACTTCCTCATTCCCTCTGTTTTCTGCTCCGATCACCACTGTCTCCTACTCTGCAAACCAGTCAACTCTGTTTGCAAAAATAGCTTATGAACTTATGAGATTTTATTCCAACTTTTAAGAAATAAAGAATGTACATCTATCAGTGATATGCATTTTCGCAAGGATTGCTTGGCCTTGAATATTTTGTGGAACACGTAACATGCGTGTAGTGACACAAAGTAGCCACGCGGTGGTGCTGTTGCATCACTTTTAAACAGCATCCAAACAGACACGCTGATCCCTGCAGAAGCTGTATGAGAAAAACAAGTAGTTTATTTTTGATCAAATGTTTTTTTAACTATTTTTAATAATAATAATCAACCTGATTCCTTGTGCGCATGCGTGTTTTGAACAATGATTATAGATTGCAAATTTTGTTTTACGTGCTGTCCTGTCTGATGCTTTATAAACTGCTTTTTTGTTTGTGATCAACTGTAACCCTATAATGATCTGCATGCTCTGCAAAGTCGAATGTGTTTATTTTACACTTTATAAGACAAAACTTTTGTTTAAAAATATTTAAATATACTGTGTGTGTATATACATAAGGATATTTGAAAAAAAAAAACTTAAAATAAGTAAAAGATGTATATAAACTGAATTCTTTGCAGTTCAATTTCTAAATTAGGTTCATTTTATGTCGCAATTCAGATCCGATTATTACCGATTTTCGTCATGGACGATCTCACCCTAAAATAAATACTTTGGTCCTGAGTTTCTTTTCTCTGCGCACCTCTACCTGTATCTGTTCTTCCTGCTGTATATTCATGGCAGCCTGCGTCTCCTTTCCCTTTGGAGCACATACAGACTTCTTAATCAAGGTCAAGAGCATTTCCCAGCAGCCTTTTGGGAATAAAAGCCTGAAAGTGCGCCAGATCTCGACCTGTCAATCATTCTCACATGGCAGCGGAACAACCATCCGAGACTTGTTGACCTTTGTTGCACCTCAGATCACTGCTGTTGGTTTTTATACTTACTTCACGACATCATCTGTTATTATTATTATTACTGTTGTTTGGATGTAGACACCCCACCACCACCACAACCACCACCACCCCTCCACCTCTATCCATCCTCTCCCCGTGGTGTGATAAATAGTTTCAAATAACAGATGGTGCCAGAGGGAGAGACAAAGCAGGGATATCTGGTTGCAATTATCCTCAATTATGTTCATTGTTATTTTGAGCTAATTATTGTTATTGTCACTTTTGTTTGTGCGTCTCGCGGCGCTAAAAGCGGGGCCTGTGTGCGCGCGCGTGCGTGCCTGCGTGTGTCCGTCCATGGAAGACAATGGGGAGCAGGAATATGTTGCGACGATGAGACGTGGTTTTTATGATCCTGACCGAACCGAGACTTGGAGCTGCGGTGACGCACAGTCAGGGAGGAATGTGGACTCGAGAAGAGATGTTGTCTCACGACGGCAACATGTTGGAAGCTCCTAACCAAGTTTGATAAACTCCTCAAGTGGAGTTTGGGAGCTGACAAACCTTAAAGTTTGATGTTTAAAAGCTTTTGCGCGCGGGAGCTCATCAGGACGGAGCGCACACCTGGACCACAGGAGCGCATGAACCTCTCGTCTTTGTTTGGGGGCGTCTTCTCTCTCTACGTCCCCTCCCCTCGTTTCCCCCCTTCTAATTCCACTCCCACCCGTCTCTCTCTTTATATCTCTTTGACTCTCTCTCTCGCTCTCTCTCTCTCTCGCTCTCTCTTTCTCCCCCGTAGGGTGGGAGAAGCCCGTGTTTGCGTCTCAGAGAGGGGGCTCCATTGGGAAGAGTCACAAAGCGGTTCTGTCAGAGCGCGCGCTGGGTTGGACATCACCGACTCCACAGCTCTGTCCCGGACCAGGGCTGAGGCAGAGGAGCAAACAGTGAGCAGAAGAAGAAAGAAGCGCGAGACAAGGATGCCATATGATCCGGGTGCTGGTTGATCTCTCTGACGGCTCAAACTTTGGATTGCAGCGCACCAGGACCGACCTCTTCGCGCACAGACCCAACCCGGTTCCTGCATCCTTCACGTCCCAGTTTGAAAAACTGGACACTTTGGATGTCCGTGTTCCTGTTTGACTTTTCCGACTGGTCATCCAGTCGCGAGCCGGACGACTAAAGAGCGCCTGGTTTCAGGAGCGCGCGAGGATCCGCAGCGGGACAAGTGCGCAGCTGGGTGGAGACACATAAAGACACAAGGATCCCACGGCGGTTTGTTCATGTTTGGGATCCAGGAGAGCATCCAGAGAAGCGGCAGCAGTCTGAAGGAGGAGCCGCTGGGAGGCATGAACGTCCGGAGCTGGATGCAGGGGGGCGGCGTGCTGGACGCCAACACGGCCGCTCAAAGGTGAGCTCTGCCCGGGGAGCAAACGGCAGCAAGGCGCCCTCCTCCAGGGGGGAACAACCAAAGAGCTTTCAAATTCTAATTCTAATTCAAAACTGAGGATCCCACAGAAACTCCCGATTTATGTCCACTTTGGAGAAATAATTTTATAATTGAGCTGGTCCAGATTAAATTAATTTTTTTTCAAGTAAACCTTATAGTTGTGATATTTAGAAAACAAATCAAATGGAAAAAATAATAAATTCAGGCTTTTGATAAGAATATAAATGTTTCCCCTATAAAACAAATTCAATCAGTTAAATTAAAAAATATATGTATATAAAAATAAATCATTATCTCCTTTTTGGCAATTATGAACTTCAAATATTGAGCCATTCGATCAGTTAATCTGTTTAGAGGGATTTCTTCTTTAAAGAATAAAAAAGTCTTTAAAATCTTGGAGCGCGAGCTCAGCTCTTCAAGGCCCGCTGGTGCATTATATCATCATTTTACAGAGAAATAAATGTTTATGATCATCAACAACAAAAAAAAAAAGGTCTTCCTTAAAAATTTAAATTACAATTCCCCATTCCCCCACCCTCCTCCTGGTTTCCTCCCGCCTGTGTGTCCGCAGCGGAGTGGGTCTGGCCCGCGCGCACTTTGAGAAGCAGCCGCCCTCCAACCTGCGCAAGTCCAACTTCTTCCACTTCGTGCTGGCTCTGTACGACCGGCAGGGCCAGCCCGTGGAGATAGAGAGGACCAACTTCGTGGACTTCATCGAGAAGGAGAAGGTGGGTGCAGAAAACCTGGGCTGGTTCACCTTTTTAGGATCCTCCAGGGTCCGAGCTGCTGCGTAAAACAGCCATTTACAACATAATAATAATTATTAATATTATTATTGAGCCTGCCACAGAAACATGCAGGTCCATTTGTCTTTAATTTACAAACACTTGTTCTGTCAAAACGACAACCTCCTCATCAATTATGACATGTTGGATTTAATCCCCCCCCCCCCCCCCCCCCCCCACACACACACACACACACACA